TTTTTTTTTTTTTTTTTTTTTTTCTGTTGTTTGTTTATTGCTGAGGGAACTGCTTACCGCCTTGATGATCTAACATCGTCAGAGTGTTCGCTGCGACATCCTCGCTCTACGACAGGGTCGAAGGGCCCACACGTTAACGGAAATGAAAGATCGTTCAGTGATGCGCGTGAACAACTGCGAAATTAAGTCAGAGACAAACAAGCAAACCGAGGGCACGCCTTGCCACATTTATCATCATATTTATTATCGTTCGTCGAATAATATTGAAAAATGATCGCGACTCGATATGGATCTCTCAACTCGAAGCTGCTGTATATCGATTCCTCGTCTCGTTGAATTCGAAGGAATTCGACGGAATCCTCGAATGTCGTGTGACAAAACGTGCCAGGTTGTAATAAAATAAAAAAGTTTATATTTTTCTCTACGAAAGAAAAAATTCGGTTCAAAATGTACGTCCGTGAAGGCGAGGCGCGTTGAAATTACATTATGATATACATATAAGATGAGAGATTATTATTAATTTTTCGTTCGAAATTTTTTTTTCTTTTATCATCAAATTTCTTGCTCGACAATTCAAATTAATTTCTCACGGACGGATATCCTGAACGCGATGATAAAAATAGTAAAACAATAATGTGAGAAATACAATAATAATAACGGCGAAAAGATAAGGTATATGGATGACGCGAGGAAAAAAAAAGGAAAAATAATGATAAGAAAAATGACGATGAGATATCAATAGCTAATTAGAGCAAGTGGAACGAATTACTAATAGCTAAATAATTTACATGGATTTTCAACTTTCACACGGCGACATCGACGTCAACACACGTCTGCTTGCACCATGCGCATCGCATTGCTAAATAATTATATAAATTAATTCGCAAGGATATATATAAAAAGGATATATATATATATGTACTGATCAATATATAATGTATACTGATCTTTGGCAGCTTCGAGGATGAGAACGTAGCGGATACCTACGTAATAAGAAAATCAGAATTCTACTGTGGTAATAAATATACCGGAAACAAACTATGTACAAACAAGAAGAAGACAACGAGCGGTGACAAAATGATTTCGGCTCGCCGCCGCTTCTTTTTTTTTTTTTTTTTTTTTTTTTTTTTCCCCCTTCGTCGATCGTTGCTTCTTTGTCGATCAAACAATATAATAAAAAAGCTATATTTACGAGACGCGCGCTACTTTTCTCCGGCTCGAATCAATATCAATAACTAATATAATCGTACAATCGCTTTTATATATGCACGATATATATATAATAATAATAATAATAATAATAATAATAATAATAATAATGATAATAATAATAATAAAGTAACAATAATTATAATAATAATGATGATGATGGTAATAATAATAATAATAATAATAATAATAAGAATAAGAATAATAATAATAATAATAGTATGTACACGATGGCATCGGTAAACTCGCAGATAAAAAAGCGGAGGGCAGATAACACCTACTTTGGTAAGACGACGGTCGACAAAAAAGTACGTTTGATGCAAAAAAAGGAATTCAAATAATAAGGAATAAAAGAAGAAGAAGACAGAGAAGAATATACGTAATACGTGTATACATATATGTACATATATACAAACATGTGTATGTGTAGAGTACATACATACATATATATATATACAGAGAGAGAGAGAGAGAGAGAGAGAGAGAGAGAGAGAGAGAAGGAAAGAGAAATTAGAAAAGAATAAAAAGAGAGAAATAAAACGATAGAGAAAGATAAAGAAAAAGAATAAATGGATAGATAGATAGATAGATAGAGAGAGAAAGAGAAAGAGAGAGAGAGAGAGAGAGAGAGAGAGACAAACATCTACCTCTAAACGTTTACGAATCATTAAGTAAGAAGTATTTGTCTGGGCTTTGTACACTAAAGAAAATGAGGTAAATAATACATGGGCTTATATACATAATTTTAAGCGATATATGTATATAAACGTTATCTAGATTTGATACGTATATTCGTAATATGAATAAGATAATATAATAAATAATATGTACGTATTACACGTTGACTGATAAGCGACACAGCTAGAAGCTTCGTGTTTTGCTACGAAGTAAAAAAAAGATACACAATTCAAGAAAGAATGTGTGTATTTGTGAAAGGTAAGAGAGACAGAGAGAGAGAGAGAGAGAGAGAGAGAGAGAGACAGACAGAGAGAGAGAGACTGATAAAATACGTATGCGTCTAATCGAGATGCATACATATGTACACGTGAGATACACGTCTACGCTTCGAGTATTTTATTGTTGTGTATAGAAAGAGAGAGAAAGAGAGAAAGAGAGAAAAAAAGTCTGTCGAAAGGTAGGCAGATAGAAAAGAAAAAAAAATGTAAGAAATTAAGAGAGAGAGAAAGAGAAGCGCGAAAAAGAAAAGATCGTTAATAGAGAAG